TGCCTACCCTATTCAGTAAGGGACCTGCACTTGCCCTGATCCTCCTCTTGCTACTGACATACTTGTAGAAATGCTTCTTGTTACCCTTCACATCCCTGGCTCAAGGCAACTCCAATTGGGCTTTGGCCTTCCTGACTTCATCCTTGCATGCTCAAGCAATGCTCTTACACTCTTCCCAATTACTTGTCCTAGTTTCCACTTCTTATAAGTGATTTAGTTTACTGAAGAGTTCCCTGCTAAGCCAACCTGGTCTTCTGCCATACTTGATAGTCTTCCTGCACATCAGGATGGTTTGTTCCTACACTCTCAGTAAGGCTTTTGAGTACAGCCAGCTGTACTGGACTCCTCTCCTCCTCAGTCTGGCTTGTCAGGGGATCCTGCCCATGAGGTCCATGAACAAGTTGAAGTCTGCTTTCCTGAAGTCCAGGGTCCTTACTCTACTGCTCTTCATTCTTCCTTTCCTCAGGATCCTGAACTCAGTGATCTTGTGGTCACTGCTGCCCAAGTTGCCATTCACTAGTGACTAGTACACTCCCCACCAATTCATCCCGGTTTGTGAGCAGCAGGTCAAAAAGAGCATGGGCCTTAGCTGGCCGCTCCAGCATGTGCGCCAGGAAGTTGTCCCCAACACTCCAAAAACTTCCTGAATTGCCTGTTGTGTTTATGTTAATTCGTAACATAAATACAGTATCACCTTCTTTTCCCCAAAACCTAGCACTGCAAAACAATGAACACACCTCAGCATTGATACTCCAGTCATGGCAGTTACCCCAGGTTTCTGTCCCTTGATTCCTGCTTCCCCCAAATTTTAAAACCAGCGGCCAGGCAGCAGGAGCATTTCTAGCCAGGCAGGGCTGAGGGAGCCACTTGACTTCATGGCTCATTATGATCTTCCTGATCCCTTCCAAACTCTTCATCTCAGAGGTGTTACAGGACGGATCTTGTTTTTCATGCCCTGGACGTTCAACCAACGCCCTTCTTCCGCAGTGTGCCCCCTGCTCCTGGTCACGAGGCTCCGTCTCACAGCCGTAACACCGGTTGCCTTTAACTCATCCTAATCATGCTCTGTGGCAGACGGCATCATCCAGCCCTGAGCCCCAGGCCTGTCAGGAAAGCTTCTAGCTTATTTTTAAGTGGAGACGAAACCTGTGGTGTTTGAGACGTGAGGAGCGCGGCGCACCGCCACGCCACGCACCCCACCGCACGACGGACAGGCGGCGCCAGGCCCCCAGGGGGCACCGCCCCAGCTCAGTCCGGGCGCCCGGGCAGCCAACTCGGCCCCAGCGGAGACGCGAGGCGGAGCCCCAGCGCGCCCCTCCCCTCCCCGGCCTG